GGGCGGAGCTTGCGAGGCCGGCAGAAGGCGGAGGGCTTTGTGTGCCGCTGTGGACCCGGACGCACTGCGCTCGCCTCGCCGTGTCTGCCCGCGCTCCTAGCCCAGCTGGGGGACGAGGGGTGGGCGTGGGGACTCCGAGAGGGGCAGCGGGTCATCTGGGGTCCTTGGGAAATACGTTTCTCCGTTTTCTTCTCCCTTCCATTTTACCCGACTCGGATTAGCATTTGTGGCTTCGATCAGACCCGGCAAATGGCACAATAAGGACGGGAGGGTGAAGCGGCGCGCAGCCCCGGTAGGATCGCGGTCGATGTACCTCTGGGCAGCTTTCCTCGCAGCCGTCCCCCGGCGGGACAGGCCGTGGGCGGTGAGGGCGCCTGCACCCAGAAGCCGCGCTGAGCTCGAGGTCATGAGGGGAGGCGCGGGTGAGGCACGTGGAGGGGGAAGAGGGCGAGTGTGAGGCTGAGCGGCAGCAGTGGCGGGGTGCAGAGTGTACTTTATGGCCAGTATAATGCTCAGGCCTGAAGCACTGGATTTCTGCACCCCCTGGGGCATTCCACCATATATCGCTTTTTTTTTTAAAGTCCCCCCCACCCCATAGTGAATCAGTATCCCGCTACACGAACTCTGGGCTGGATTCGATTTGGTGCTGCATCCCTGCCTTAGGGCGGGCTTATTTGTCCTTAACCTGTGGAGTGGTCACAGCCCCCTCCCGTGGCTGTGTAATCTTCCTTCCCTAAGAGCGAGTGTGGAAAGTGCGGCTGGATAGCGGCTCGCAAGTTAATGGCCTTTTAGAGCTGCGATAGAGGAGTGGGCACCTTGGAACGCAGCCCTAATGTGGGCGTGGTAGCAACGCACCGGGCCTAGGGAGCCTCAGCTTCTGCCTTCGGAGCTCCTGCTTGCCTCCAAGCGTGTTCCTCCTCTGAAGGCGACATATGGTCGTTATCTAATGTGGAATACATTTTAAGAAGGCAAATGAACCTTTAAAAATGTCACTTGAATGAGGAGGTCGGAGTATCCAAACCTTCTGGTAAGGAGAAGGGGGGAGGGAGACGATGAGATGATGTGGGGAGAAACAGATCTCGTGTCATCGCGTCTGAAGGAAGGACGAAGTTGTCCAGGCAGCGGGCGGGAGGATGGTGAAGAGAGGAAGGTGCTCCGTGTATTCAGAGTGGTCTCGGTTGGTGCTTACTGGCTGGCTGTGTTGGTGGGAAAACTGACGCCGCAAGCTCAGCCTGGCCCTGGAGAAAGTAAGATGGCATTAGGGGGAACCAAGATCCTAACTGGGAGCTCAGGCTGTCCATCCATTATGTGACAAAAAGGAAAATATTGGTGGCCTTCAAAAGCTACTAGGATGAAGTGAGAAAGCCTAGCGGGCCGAGCTGGGTTGAGGTAGAGAATGAGGACCTCGCTAAAGACTGAGTAAAGGCTGGCGGATTTGAATCACATTTCCTGCTCCCTCCTCTCGTGCGCTTTGCTTTTCTCAGAATCTCTGTTTGGCTGATCTCTGGGGTTCAGTGAAGGGAAGGAGAAAGGGTAAAGATTGATTACAAAGATGATCAATTAAGGCAAGAAAAGAACATTCACCTAGAAAGAAAGCAAAAAGCTGGACAGCCTTTAAGAGGTATGGGGGTGGTGGCAAAGCCTGTAATCCCAGCCCATGGGGAGGCTGAGGCAGGAGGATGGCATGTTGGAGCCCATTCTGGGCAATTTAGTAAGACCCAGTCGCATAATAAAAAAAGTAAATTTGAAACCTGCCTTGGGATGTAGTTTAATCCCCAGTACTGAAAAAAAAACGTCAAGCCTGAACCTGTGCCATTGCCATATAGGGTTTTCTTTGTACCTAATAAGATTCTGCTTCTTTTTTTCTTTTCTTCTTTGCGTCTCTACAGGTGTCTGAATACCACAGGTTATCTAGTGCTAATGTAATCAACAAAGGTCATTCTTTCCTTGGCATGCAAAACCCTTCATGATTCCAGGGCCTGCCTACCCTCTATTCTCCTTTGGAGCTGGGCCGCTTTAAATTACCTACTCATCTTTGCAGCAAACAGCTCCCCATTTCCAAATGTCACAGGCATTCTGAGAACCTGTGTGAGTAGGTGGAGCTCCACACCTCCTGGACATCCCTGCGTTGGCCCTGATGACTTTTACCCAAATCCTGCTTCAGCTGATTTGCACCCTTATGGAAGTCTGAATTAATTCTGCCTTCGTAGTACTTCGAATTGCTTTGTTGACATGTGTTTTAGTTTTGTCTTCGATACTTGTCATTATTCTGTACCTGGCACTTTATACCTAGCACGTACACAAGGAATGTTTTATTTGAAAAACATGACAATGAGGGCATGAGTGATTGTGCATCTCTCCTTTCTGTGGAAAAAGCATAGAGCTTTCCTAATAGACCTGTGCGGATTCATTGCAATTGTGAAAATAGTCTCCTGTGTGTGACTGAGGCTTTTCCTGCTGCTCATCAAGTAAGAGACCCTAAAAGGATCTCTGAGGACATTAAGTACAACGACATTCAGGAAGCATTTTTAATTTTTAAAATTCTCATGAGTGCATGCTTGTAGTACATAATGATGAACTCATCATGGGGAGCTGACACAAGCACAGAACACCTCTGAATTTTTTTCACGTCCTCTTAGGAAAAGCTTGTTGAAGGGCATCTTTGCCAGCCCCACATTTCAAACTCAACGGCAGCATTTGCCACGGGTTAATCCAAATGAATAAAAAATAGTTTTCATCTTTCTCCTAGACCGAAGATGATACTTTTCCTTTTGGTTGCTAATGGACCCTTTAGAAAGCAGCAGTGCAAGAGGTTCTCCTGCAGGTAAGCCAGGTATTTACCAGGTCTCTTTCATTTTCACAGCCCAGCAATTTATCATGGTTAAAAAATACAGCACAAGGAAATGCAAGGCAGATCAGATCCTCAAACTCTCTTCCCCTGGAGACCTTGAAGTTTATTAATCCCTCATATCTAAACGTGCAAACTTTCTTGCTCTCTTTTCATGTGATTACGACAGTCACTGTTTTTGAGCATCCACATGTGAGCTATTAAACTAGATAATTTACTTATGGTGCCTCAGTTCATCGGATGACTATTATTATTCCCATTTGAAAAAATGAGGAAATTAGGGTTCAGAGAGAAGTTCAGAAACTTGCCTGGAGTCCCAGATTCTGAACTGGAGATAAATTGGAATTTAGGCCTATTAACTCCCAGAACTATTCAGAGTTTGATTTCCATGGGAGAAAACTGCCAGATCTCTCTGTTCCTTCTTTGAAGACTTCCACTTTTCAGATTTTCTTCCAGGAACATTGACAGGCTTCTAAAATTATCCTAGTGGGTATCACTCTGAGAAGCAGTGTTTTTGCAAATTCATTATTTTTATGGCCTTTTAAAATTTCATGGCCATCAATTAGAAAAGCCAGGTTCAGAATCCCTAATAAGACCTTTGGACACAGAACTTTGTGCCTGGAGTTCTTTTGTTTTTTTCTCCACAGCCTATCTGAGTTCTATCATGTTCCTTTCTCCGGCAGTATTGCCTCTTCTGGGTAGTGTTTCTTGACCAGGAGGGGCCAGCTTCATCCTTTCCTCTGATCTCTTGCATTACCTGAAATTACCCTAGGTTCAGTGTCTTCTTCCTGAAAGACCTTGGTGAGCCCTTGTGTAAGCCGGGGTCTGTACGTCCAGAACATAACCTGCTATGTGGTGGGCTTTCAGAAACTGTCAGTGATTAGCTGGCCATGAGTGAAATGCAGAAACGTTGGTATGAAACACTATTTTTTATTGCAGAAGAGGGGGTTAGCAGAAAAGATAATGATTTTCTGAGTTAACTTTCACCTGTCTCATGTGACTGCCAAAAGAGGTAAGCACTGAGTGCAAGTATGCCAGAGTAGATCTGAGATTTTATTGCTGAGATTTTATGTGCCAGCACCAGACGATGATAGCATTTCATGACTTTAGGTGGCATGAGTGGGGTTATTGCCTTAGTACTTTCCCCAAGCTGTCATGCCACCTTCTGGCCTGAGCTTTTAGGAAAGGCTTTTTTGCTGTACATCTGAGAGAACCAAAGGGATTCCTTAACTGTAGGTATAGAGGGGGAAGAAGCAA